AGCGCTTTCTCAAGCCGAGCACAAAGTAGGCTCTAAATAAAAGTTTGTTGAGTGAAATTATTCTATCTCACTCCTCATAATCACACGGTAAAGTAACAGTGTTAAGGCCATTTTACAGACCAGGAAGCTGAGGCCCGTAAAGGAGGGAGTCACGGAGCCAGGAGGTGGCGAAACTGAGTCTCAAGTCTCATCTAATAAATTCAAAGCCAGTGCTTTTTTTTCCTCTAAATAATAAATACCCCCAGGCTCAGCGTTCTCATTTCTGCCTTCCATCCACGGGGAGTCGAAGAAATTCCGGAAAAGCAAATCAAGCCTCTGAGCACAAATCCAAGTAGGGCCGGAGCGAACACCTGTGCCCCAGCGCCTGCTGGGCCAGGCGCGGGGACTAGACTGGTGGCAAACGTTGGGGGAGGGGTGCACTTTGCGAGGAAGCTGAGGGGCCGGGTGGCGACGCTAGAAACCACAGATTCTCCTGACACAGTGGGCGCAGTGAGTACTGCTGCCCCACAGCTTCCGGGGCTGCAAGGGTCCCGAGCTCCCCGCGCGGAGCACCCAGGCCCCCGGCACACCGCTTGTCGCGACAACTTCAAACTTCTCAGATCCTTGGAGCACGAGGCCTTCGAAGGAGCTGTTCTGACTCCTGCAAATTTCCAGGAAAGAAAATAAAGCCTAAAGCAAGTAAACGACGCCTCCAGGGTCATCCAGCGAAGGCTGAGACTGGAAACCACGTGTCGCGGGCCTGTCTCCTCCCACCCACATTAGCCATTTTGGCTGGGAAAAGGGTGGGCGGAGGAGTCAACTGAGGATCAGGCTGCAGGCTGGATGGGGCTACGGTGAAAGCTCCTGGAAGAGTCCCAAATGTAACTAATTCGCGCGTCAGAGGTCAGTGGGTAAAGAGAGAACCCTTGAATATTGAGAAGTACGTATGAACCTTTACCTTCTGCCTAGTCCTGCACGTCGTTCTAGCCCTCGTCGATGACCTGCGCTCCTCCTCACGCTGAGCACAGCTGTCTTCGGAAGCTTTGGGACAGCCTAGCTTGGACCCCGGCTAAGGTGTGCGTGGCACCTTCCAGGGACTGGCTAGATAGAGGAGAGGGAATGAATAAATAGCCGTTCCTGAAGTTCCACATCTTTTTCTGGCAAATTTTTACTCCCCATCCATAGAGCCAATTAAATGCAATAAAACCTTGCAAAGAACCCCTCTTCCTAGCAAAGCGTCGCCGACAAATGCCTAGGGGTAAACCAAATACGCCTGAGATAATTACACTAAGCCCAGGGCAATGATTTGCCTGCCAGCGTCCTCAGCGGCAGCCGATATTTGGCTAGTGTAGTGGTTGTGTGCGTGTATGTTTTTAAATTACACACGGAAACTTGAAACCTACTAGTTGGTGCCAGGGTGGTTACGCGATCTGTTTTCTTGAGCAGAGGTCTGTAGGCAGCTGGAGCGCGCGCGTACCGCCCCCCGCCCGTGTTGCTGCGCGCCTGCAGAACTTGCGGGAATTAAATCGACCTCCGGGGATGGACGGGAGTAGGGGCGAGCGCGACCCCAACCGCGGCTCCGGCTCTGCCCGCAGTTCCAGCACCACGCCAGGAATTGCCCAGAATTCTCCGCGGAGATGGCGGTGGCGGGCCCCTCTCCAAAATGGACAGGCGTCGGGCGCTCCTTGTCTGCGCTCTCCGCTGCAATTGCAGCTTGGACTGCCTAGCCCGCTGAGGCTTCAGTGTCGGAAAGGACTTTCTGCCCTTGCCAAGTGCACCCAGAACGCAGAAGCGTGAGGCGTGGCGCTTCGATCTACCCTCGCGACTCTATTTTGGTCCAAGTTGCGCGGAGCCCTCAGCCAGTTGAACGCAGTTGGTTCGCCGAGACCAAAGGCGTAGGCCACGGGGCTCGCATCTTACCCCGGCGCCGAGTCCGAGGTAGTGGTGGCGGGTCTGGAGTTTTTAACGAGTTCACCTGGTGAGCGCCCAGCTCACAGCTTTATTGTGTTCAGGTTATGCTCGTGAAGTTTGCCCCGCGCGCCCTTGAAGGGCCCATTCTCTCGCTCTGTCCTCGGATGCCATGGAGTGCACTTGCCCGACGAGAACATCTCCGAGCTGCTCCCAAGTTGGAGGTGCAGCTTTTCCAGGAGCCCGCGGAGAAGATACTCTCGCAGGGCGTCAACAAAAGATGACTTTGCCGGAGCGGCGTGCGGGACCGGGCCAGGAAGAGGCTTTAAGCGCTTGGCACGCCAAGCTCCTACCAGCGGCCTTTTGGCAGCTCCTGGGCCTGGACAGGGCTTTTCTCGCACCACGTCAGTCAAGGGAGAAGGGGACACCCAGCACCCGCGGGCTCTAGCTGTCACTCTAACTGTGGGCATCCTCAGAATTCCTCCTTGGCTTCGTGAAGCCAGGAGGCTGTCTGCTGCTGGCTCCTTAAACTGACTCGCGCTACCAGAAATTCCAAAGAGACTCCATTGGCAGAAGGAACCTTCCCGGCCTGGAGTGACAGCGAAAGCATCCAATTCTGAAAGGGACAGGCTAAAAGGCTGCTCTTTCCCCCCGGGGCCCTTTTGCACACTTCACCTCAACTGTTCTTACCTATTCTAAAACGGCTGCTGGCCTAAGGCAAACTAGCCAAATAATACTAGCCAGAAAGCTAGTTTCTGAGCAAAGATAAAAATTAGGAATCTGCCCGGCTCACCGCACTCCTACAAACCGACAGGCAAACAGCCCCTCTGGTGGTCCTCCCCTGGAGCAGCTCACCAAAAGACGGAAGCTAAAACTACTCGACCTGATGTCGCCAAGGTTTAGGGGGGAGGGTAAGAGGCAGTCTCCCAAGTAGTTGGGCCAACGGCCTCTGCCTTCAGATTTAGGGACAGAAAAGAAGAAATTAACAACCGAATGAGCCACAGTCGCTGATTGCTCTTTTCTCCTCAATTAGTGGAACTGGAAGGGACCCGTGAAATTTCCAACTTCGAACATCTCATTTTACAAATAAACTGAGGCCCAGAGACGAGAAAAGGGTTTATATTTTTTCTAAACTCTGATTTTCCTCCCAGCTCAAGGGCAGAAGCAGCCAAAGCCAAAATATAACTTCAGGTTCTCCCTGCAGTCAGTTGGAATTCGCTACTGGGTGTGCGGGTGAGTGCGGAGCAGGAATCTGCTTCTCTGACCCCAGCAAGCACCGGGACCTCGGCGCTGTGGCTCATCCATCTTTCCCTCACAGGTCACACTAGGGCCCTATGGATTGCTCATTTTGAGGTCTTATTTGATTTTATTTATCTCCCTTTCCCTCGACGTGCTAGGAATAGCAGACTTCGTTCCGACACACCTAGGTGATGGGACCTCTGATCTCCCAACTCCTCCCTCTGGCCCTAGCTCAGACGTCACCATTCCCAAAGAAATGCCTCACTCTCTTGAGAAGCGCGGTGGAACCTCCATCTACCAAGTCCTATTATCTATTCTAATTTCCTGGTTACTGTCAGCGCTCCCTCTAGATTGCGGTCCTGTAGCTTAGAGAACTGTGTACCTGGCTACGATCGTAGGGCCTGACATACAGTTGGCTCGCAATAAAGTTGTGAAGTTGGCGTTTGACGAAAATGCCCCTGGCTCTCCTCCCCATGAGCTTTTCCCTCCAACCCTACAGGCATTGGGATTTCTTGCTGTGAAGAGGCCTTGAGGCCACGGCGTTCCGAACTTGGTCCAGAGTGGCTTGTCCAAGAGAAAATTAGTGGAAGGAGAGAGAAGATCAGAGCCGGTAGGAGGGAAGTGCGGGGATAGGCTGGAGATGCAAGAGAGGAGAGAGAAAGCAGGGGTCTAGTCCCCTTCTCCTGTGCGTCGCGACCCGGGTGGGGTACAACAGCGAGGACCGCACCCGGATCTGCAACCCTCCCTGCGAACATCCTGCGCTCCTCGCCCCACGTGGTGGGACCTGGGGGCTGCGAGTGGGTGGTGAAAGCTGGGGTGGGGGGGACCCGAACCCAGCGGAGGAGGGGGCGGGGGCGAAGCACAGCTCTTTCTACCCCTTCTTCAGCAAGAGAAGCGGCGGCGGCGCGGAGTCCCTCAGCCTCGGTCATGTGATAGTCTTGAAGAGCGAGCTGCGGGGGTCTCGGCGTCTCGGGGACCATTACAAAACCCAGCCAGGAGAGCGCGTCTCTGCCACAACCGCCGCCGCCGCCTCTCCAGCTCAAGACAGGCGGGTGAGAGCGGCGGCAGCTGCAACGCGGACCGCTGAGCGGACTTTAGCCAGTCTCGCATCCTCCAGGCATTGATAAGACGCCCCGTCAGGCCTGCGGCTCGCGCCCTGCGCCCCCGCCCCACACCAGAACCTGCTGGTGCTGCGGCTGCAGAAACTACCAAACTTTTCCCCCCGAGCGACAGCCTACAGCTCTATCCTCGGCTCTATCCGCGGGAGAAAGGGAGACGCGGGCTGCCCGGCTTCCACCCTCCTTTTCCTTACCTCGCCTCTTCCCTCCAGGAAAACAGAACCCCAGAGCGCACTAAGTGGCGGGTCAGGGGGCAGCGCTTCGTGCGGGTAGGTGCCGCCGCCCCCGGCCTCCAGGACAGCGAGCGCCAACTTGGATTTAAAGGGCCAGAGTCCTGAGTGTGTAGCTCGCTTGGCCTGGGCTTCCCTCAGACCCAGCAAAAGCAAAGAAGAGGCTGGAGGGGAACACGGCCCCTCCCCACTCGTCCTCTGCCAACTCCAGCGTTCAATCTCTGTCCACACGCGCGAAGACGCCGCGAGGGTGACAGTGAAGCTGGCGCGCCCTGCCCGATATCGTGTGCGTGTGTCTGCGACCGTCGGGGCCAGAAGTTGCGAGGGTCGGAGAGCTAAGTTGGCCCAAGAGGTCAAGCGCAGAGACGACAGGCAGCTGAGAGAAGCAGGGAGGGAAACGGCGAGAAGGTCTGGGGCGAGAGAAGGCAGAGTGGTGGAGCTGGGCGAGCGGAGTGGGAGTTAGTGGAGACAGCCAGGCCCCGGGAGCCGGGTGCGGAGCCGGTGGGCGGTGGAGGCGCCAGGGGCGATGCCGCGGCCGGGGAAGAGTTCGTACAGCGACCAGAAGCCGCCCTACTCGTATATCTCGCTGACCGCCATGGCCATCCAACACTCGGCCGAGAAGATGCTGCCGCTAAGCGACATCTACAAGTTCATCATGGAGCAACACTCAGCGTTGGCAGAACAGCCTGCGCCACAACCTCTCCTTCAACGACTGTTTCATCAAGATCCCGCGGCGGCCGGACCAGCCCGGTAAGGGCAGCTTCTGGGCGTTGCATCCCGACTGTGGCGACATGTTCGAGAACGGCAGCTTCCTGCGGCGCCGTAAGCGCTTCAAGGTGTTGCGTGCGGACCACACTCACCTGCACGCAGGAAGCACCAAAGGCGCACCAGGCGCGGGGCCCGGAGGCCACCTGCATCCGCATCACCCGCACCACCCGCACCACCACCACCATCACGCTGCAGTGCACCATCACCATCACCACCACCCGCCCCAGCCGCCGCCGCCCCCGCCCCCGCCGCACATGGTGCATTATTTCCACCAGCAGCCACCTCCCGCTCCGCAGCCGCCACCGCACCTCCCGTCGCAGCCTCTGCAGCAGCAGTCCCAGCAGTCGCAGCCTCAGCAGCCGTCTCACCCCGGCAAGATGCAAGAGGCGGCCGCGGTGGCGGCGGCGGCAGCGGCGGCGGCGGCGGCAGCGGTGGGCAGCGTGGGGCGCCTGTCGCAGTTCCCGCCATATGGGCTTGGCTCTGCCGCCGCAGCTGCCGCCGCCGCCGCCGCATCCACGTCGGGCTTCAAGCACCCGTTCGCCATCGAGAACATCATCGGTCGGGACTACAAGGGAGTGCTGCAGGCCGGCGGGCTGCCCTTGGCGTCGGTCATGCACCACCTGGGTTATCCTGTGCCAGGCCAGCTCGGTAACGTCGTCAGCTCCGTGTGGCCGCACGTCGGTGTCATGGATTCGGTGGCCGCGGCCGCCGCCGCCGCCGCCGCCGCTGGCGTGCCTGTGGGCCCGGAGTACGGGGCCTTCGGGGTGCCGGTCAAGGCCCTGTGCCACTCGGCGAGCCAGAGCTTGCCTGCGGTGCCTGTGCCCATCAAGCCAACTCCAGCACTGCCGCCGGTGGCCGCGCTACCGCCGACGCTCACTGTCCCTGCGGCCCCGCAGCAGCCGCCGGCGCCACCCAGCGTGTGCCCGGCGGCTGCGGCCTCTCCCGCCGCCTCCCTGCTGGAGCCCACTGCCCCAAGTTCGGCTGAGAGCAAGGGTGGCTCCCTGCACTCTGTGCTGGTGCATTCCTAGGGCACCCGGCGGGTGGGGCTGAGATGAACGCAGGGAGAGACGCTTGGCTCTGAACAGCAGGAGTGAGAGAGGGAGCCCTGACCAGGCGGGGCTGAACGGGCAAGTCCCAGCCTTTGCGAGAAAGGAAAGTGTTTAAACAGACAGACCAATCCAAAAGTGGATTCTCCAGTGGTCTGAATAAATATAACACTTTGGGTGTCTGTGTTTGTACTATGTTGTACAATCAGATTAATGAAAGCCAAATTTCAGGTAAGAGTTTCTATTGTAATTAATATTATAGATCAATAAGTTATGGGGGGAAGGAAAGTAAGAGTTTTTTTGGGGGGGGGAGGGGCTCATTCCCTGGCAAGTTGAAATGGATTTTGACCGTTATTCCTGGGATTGGAAGCTGTCAGATCTAAACATCCCGGTGAGAAATCCAATAGAGAGTGACAGACCTCAGCCACTCAGTTTCTCTCTGCTGGCTGTCTACCCGGGCAGCAGCCTCACGTAAAACATTCAAGACAAAACTGCTATTCACTAAGATCATCTCGTTTAAGAAAGGAAAGAGAGAGCGTTTGATGCCGTTATTTTCCTGGTCTGGGAAATGGGCAAGGACACGATATCAATAAAGCCGCTTCAGGGGGCAGTGGGAACTCCACGAAGGATCTTGGGAAACAGTTAAGCTTCTTGGCTCTGACCCGGGGTCAAGAAGGATAGGAGGAACAGATAAAGCAATTAATTTGCACAAAAGAGAATGGCAGCGGCTTAAAGAGCAAAGTACCAGATTCCAAAAGTAAAGTTCGGGAAACACAGCCAAAGAGAGACAGTAAAGGTGACTTTATACCTGCAATTCGTTTAGTTATCAGTCGGGTGAGACCGTTAAGGAGCTCCTAAACAATGTGAATTCACACAATCCGTTCCATTTGGGATTTTAAAAGGGGGAAAAAATCACTTGCAACGCGGGATTTTGTTCCCCTAACTCATGAATGCAAGAAAAACCTACCACATCACCCGACAGTATTGCTCTTAACTTTTCCAGGAGCATTTCTTGGCCGTTACCTTCCAGCCACCTTGGGACATATGCTAGAGGATGACCCCACCTTTGCACGCCACCGTCTATTTGGTATTTCGTTTGGTATTTAGACGCCCACGTCTTACAGGCGAGTTCTTCAGTTTCCGTTCGTGAATGAAGAAGCAACTTAGCGTGCCACTGTTGCCCCTTCCCCCTTTTCGAACCCCGAGAATAGCACTTTACTCGCAACAAACTTGGGAACGAAGTGGAGCGGGTAGGGAGGAGGCAGCGACCCTTTGCGTCTAAGTCACCTCTGGCTTGTTTCTGCGCCGCGTTCGGGTTGTGACTTTGTGACCTGTCTGCCAGTGTTGTACGCGGTGTTTCTGTATTAAAGCTTCTCTCTGCATAAGCCGGTGCTCGTGTGAAAGTGTTTCGCTTCTCAAGAGACCACACTGCGATCTGAGTACCCACTGCCCGGTCAGAGGACTTTGTAAATCCTCTGTCTCCTTTATTTTTAACATCAGAACTTAAAAGGGTTGAGTTCACAGGCCAGCCACCAGCAGGGATAGGTTTCCTCCACTGTTCCTTTTCGGCGCAAGTATCTACCACTCATTCTTATCATAATGGTTTTCCTAAGTGAGCTTTAGTCCACCTTGGCGCTGGAAACTGAATTAGCAAAAACCAGTAACAGTGATTTTTTTTTCTGTTCCTATGGGAGATTCATATCCATATTTATCAACCCCACCACCCAAACATCCTTTTTCCTTTTCCGATGGCCTTGAGGGCTGGGAACTTCGTACCATCGGATGGGTACACCGCGATGCCCTCTTAATTCTGTGGGGCTGGGCCCAGGATGGGGAGGTTGATGCCGGGACGCTCCCACTGTCGCCGCTACCCACGTTAATGAGGATGGAGGGTCCTGCCACAGAGGCCGGGGGACCTGTTGCGCGCAGGCGCGGGCCGCGTCCTGGGAGAGCTGGTCTTCGTGGGCGGTGGCAGCAGGAGACCCAGGGCCGCGGAGCCCTAGGCCTCCGAGAGCCTGCTGCGGAGCAGACCGCACTCCCTGGAGGGACCTTGAGGACTGCAGACGCTGTGGAGCTGCGTGGGGAGCTGGCGAAGTGGCCTGGTCCCGTGCGGGGAACCACGCACGGGACCAGGGGAGCCGCAGCTCGGCCTCTGCCCTCCACCAGCGAACAGGGCTCCATCTTGAACCAGCTGCCCCCTTCCCAGCCAGGACCAATGGAAGCCTCCTCTAACCTTTCCTCAGAAGAAAGTAAAGGGCCAACAAGATGACTTGCACACGGTAATGACCCTAGGGGGATTTGGGTTACTTCTTAAAAATAGGTGTTTTCATGCGTCTCTTACAACTCTTCTTGAAGCATGTAGCTAAGTTTTGGCCTCGCCTGGGAAATACGTTTCAGTTTAGGTCACTGCCTCCTTGGGGGCTCAAACAATTTTAGTATATCTCATTCTGTCAGCTTGAAACCCTGCAAGGTGTTCCTCTACAACTCGTGTGACGTTGAAAGAGAGAAAAGAAGGGGAGACACTAACATTGGGGTCATAGATTTGGGGGAACTTGGGAGTCTGGCTTTTTGATCCACTTCTGGGTGAGTTGGTGCCTGGAAGGATGAGTTGGGCCAGGACCTCTAGTTTGGAGGCTGAGAGTTACGCAGCCAGAAGAAGGAGGTCCGAGATTCCAGGGATTCCTTCAAAAGAACATTCCTCTTCCTTTTCCACCTGCTCAAAAGGGCCAGTGAACTTAATAGCGGTACCCATAGTCCAACTTCCGGGAGAGGGTCTTGGCTCAAATGAGTTCTGCACCCAGAAAGGTAGCCTAAGTGACAGCCCTTCCTAAGGATAGAAGAGCCTGTGAGCTCCGCATCAGAGAAGGATGAATAATTCACACTCAATGTTGTCAGGAACCTCTTAGCACTCAGTCCCACATTCACACACCCCAGTGCTACCTCTGCGGGATAAACGTGGTGGTTTTGTTTTTACTGTAAGGAGAGAGAAAGAAGAATAAAAGGTAAAATGAGCTTAGAAATGATACCACTCAAGTTTTCATCCAGGAGGAGACCCTGGTACCCAAAGGAAGCTATTCATGGCATTGAGAGTAGTAAATATGGGAATTAATGTAAATAAACGGGGTGGGGAGAGCTTTCCGCCAAAGCTCTGATGCCAAGGGAAGTCCCAGTTAAAGCCCTGGCCACTGCCCTGAAGACCCATCCTAAGATGGGGTCTGCACTCTAACTGTAATTGTATTTTAAGGGGCTTCATTCCCACAAGCAACCACCACCGCCACGCTGGAACCTAGTCTGGGAAGCCCTCGGTGACACCAGGACTGGGAGGACCCCAGGCCCAGGCTCACTGTTCCACCAGAATCAGATCTTCATACCATGTGCTGAAAAACACCCACCTAAAGACATTGGAGCCATATTCAGTGATTATTTTAACTGTTTAAGTAGGGGTTAAGCCATTTAAAAAATATTGTTCTGATAATCTAAGTATATAGAGAACCACAAAAGCTAATAAGAATACTAAACTGATGGTGATATTTTGGTAACTCTTTCAACTGAGTATATGATCTCCTATGATTTCACAGGTATTCTCTCTCTAGCTACATGTTGGGATAAAGGGAAAGTGACTTCTGGACCAAAGTGAGATGGAAGTAAAGGCACTTATGTACTTATGACCATCTTAGTTCACAAACTTAAAATCATTCTGGGTATGCTAAGTACTGGTGGAGATAACAAGAAATGATGTTGCTGGTGTCTAAGATGATAGAAAAGACTGTAGTTGCTTAGCTTGTATCCCCCTTCACTGAAGGCACAGAACTTAAGAAAGAGGGAGAAGCCAGGAGGCGGGGAAAAGGTTTAAGTGTAGATATCCTTAAAAGTAGAAGAAAACCAACTTGGAATGATTTATTTAATTATATTTCCTTGGGAAGCTGAGACGAAAGCTAAGGACTGAGGGAGAACGAAGTTATTTTAGCTGTGGTCCCTAGGAGAACAGGCCCTCCTGCAAAGGCCAGAATCAGCACAGTTGGCATCTGGCACTTAGGAAGCCTGTCAGTCAGGCTGGCTTGTGGTCAATTATCTCCTTAAGTAGACTGGCATTAGTCCAGCCAGGGAGGAGGGCTGGTTGCATCCATTGGAATCAGAGCCAGTTAGCTGGAAGTGGCACTGCTGAACTCCAAGCAATTTTGCATTACAGGTTTGGAAGGCTGATCAACACCTCTCCTGGGACTCAAAGGTGACATTTGCCTGCTTGGCACTAGTACAGACGTACTCCAGAAGAGTATGGAAACAGAATGCCTTGAGAGAAGAAACAATGATCACCAAAGCTGCTAAATCCCCCTTAAATTTCATTCACTGAGAAAATTGTCATTTCTGATATGCATAAAATTATACAGAAATCCTTGTAAATTATGGGATTTGGTTTCTCCAGTGGATAAGAATATTCATTCTTCACTGTACCTGATTATGAAATGGGCACAAAGGATAGTTTGGGAGCATGTCCAGACTTGGATGACGTAGCAGAGGTTTGAAGTGGTGTTGGTATTCATTAGACTGTGTGTGTGTGATTCTGCATGGGGGTGGAGCGGGGCAGGGTAGAGTTGGTATTGAAAATGGGAAATTAAAGAAATGATTTCAAAAGCTAGCGATCATCTCTTTGTAGGTGAAAAGGCAGAGTGGGGATCCAAATGAAGATGGGAAGTTCTCGAAATCCAGAAGGCAAAAGAGTTTCTTGAGGTCTGATATTCCTGTTTTGCTCATTGAAAGTATTTTCATTAACTTTATCTTTCAAAGCTGAAACATTACCTTATACCCTTTAGGGGAGATTGAAGAGATCTGCTTGGGATTTGAATTCAGTCTTAAACCATTGTTTAAATGGTATGAGTTTGGCAAAATTCCAGATGTACTCTGTCCCAAGCACTTTTCCCCCTTAACTATCCCCTGTGTATTTTAAGGAAAATTCAAGCCACATGTTGCTCTTTTCCCTTTGC